AAATTACATTAATGGATGCGATTCATGCGTACAAGTATACAACATCTAAATATTGTATTTACACATACATGTGTAGCTAAAATATATGTGTATTGATACATGTAAACAATTATGCATTCGACTTGTGTTTACACAACGTGCGAGAACCCTAACCTCTTGAACTCGAATCGCCCTCGCTTCGGAGTGAATTTACGCCGCAAAAAATTAAACTCGGCACGTTTTTATTTTATTTTTTTCGGCCGAGTATAAATTCCCTTCGCTCGATTAATTTCACCAGCCGAGCGGAAAAGGGGCTAACGTGCACGAAGCCCGCGGGAAGCCGAAGCTCTGATCGGTTCGATGGGCCACGAACATCGTCACAGACGGTCGGACGTCACTTGCGCAACGGTGCACGGTGACGGATCATCGAAGCGCGCGCAGCTAACAGCGGGGAACGCGTTTTAGCACGGCCCGATTTTCACGCGCTAGTCGTGGCACGCGCACAAGTCACGCCGTTTGAGTTCTTAATGAATGTCTTCTGGCGGGCCAATTGAACATTTCAATTAGGGCGTTCGCCCATTTTTTCGATCGCTGGTGGTTCGTATCGAGCGAGCCCCGTCGTTTAGGGCAGGGAAATGCAACGTGCTTTGAAGATGATTTAAAAAAAATAATTATTCAGATTATATTATATAGGCTGCAAGGTGGGCCAAGGCAGTCTCTCTTGCCAAACAAGGACAGTGGACTCGATGGGACAGTGTGGAGAAGAGGAAGATCAGCTGGAAGGATCTGTGGGCCACGGAAGCGAGGCGGTTGAGCTTCTCCATCAGAGCAACATATGACATCCTTCCAACACCAGTTAATCTTCACCAATGGTATGGTGAAGATCCGGACTGTGCCCTCTGTTCCATGCCAGCCAACCTCAGGCACATTCTCACAGGGTGTAAAACAAGCCTCACCCAAGGACACTACACTTGGCGTCACAACCAAGTCCTTAAAAACCTTGCGTCCGCCCTGGAGGACAAGCGAGCTGCCACCAACTCCCTACCACCCCCAGCAGCATCACACCCCTTACGGACGACCTTTGTCCGTGAAGGGGCTAAACCACCGAAGAGCGGCTCTACACCAATAGAGCGAGACCAGCTGCGCTTGGCCCGCGACTGGAAAATGCTAGTTGACATTGGCCGGCAACTTGTGTTTCCTCCGGAGATCGCAACCACCACCCTAAGACCTGACGTGGTGCTCTGGTCCCGTTCGCTCAAGAAGGTCTTCATCATTGAGCTCACAGTACCCTGGGAGGACTCAGTAGATGAGGCTTATGAGCGAAAACATCTGCGCTATGCCGATCTAGCTGCCGAAGCACGGCATCATGGCTGGAACACAGAAGTCCGACCAGTGGAGGTGGGCTGCAGAGGTTTTGTGGCAACATCTACAACCAGACTGCTTAGAGACCTGGGAATTAAGGGCCAGAGCCAGCGTTCGGCAATCAAAGCTGTATCGGAGGCGGCAGAAGGCAGCAGTCAGTGGCTCTGGATGAAGAGGAAAGACCCCACCTGGGCCCCAAAGTGAGAGGGCCAGGAGGTATGCAGTCAACAATGCTTGACTCAGGGAGGAGGACGCCCCTGCCATGCATAGTCCAATGGGATGTTGGCTATCCAACAACAAGGCAACTCCTATGACTAATTGGGAATGGGACGCAAGCGTAGGATTGATCACCCTGTCGCTGGCCGCCTTTGGGGAGGGTGTATAGTATGAAAGGCCGAAACACCCTAGGAACCAAAGGGTCACTACTGACGATGCGCTCCCCAAATTTCACCAGGCTCACTGTTCATGAACTCTTGGAAGTGCTTGCACAAAGGATAGTAACATCTCATCCTGTGTTCTTTGGAATCACGTTCATGTGTTGCTCAGGTCTTAATTGGATAGTCAGGTCTGTTGTATTGGGTGCATGTTGAACTTCTTTCGCACCGTACACAGCCAACCTTGCTAAACGGAGGTGTATACATGTATAGTTACTTTGTCGATCTCCAGAGGTAGTTCTGTTATTACTCGCTATTCACGTTAGCGGTGGCTGGCAATCAAACTCGGTTGACCAATTCACAGAGCAGTGCGCTCACCACTTTCACAACCACCCCCCGCATCCCCTGACCGTCGAGTAATGTTACACATTTGAACGAAGTAATGATCTGTTTTCAAAAAGAATGTCTGTAAACAACAAGCCCTAATGTAAGGTGTGCCAGCCTATAAGTCACAGGCTTGCCTTTTGGTATTGAATAGAAATTCCCAATGTTGTTGAAAATGAGTCGATTGGGTCCTGGCCAAGGCACCGGTTTTTTGCCTCGATCACTTCATCCAATCGAATTATCGACGGCTTTCCACGCAGTCCACATTGAAATCAGGTTCCCACACCTAACCTCAGCACTCAGAGGCTTGGGCAGTCGCCACATTATAGAATTTAAATTGAATTTCTGCTTGGAAGTGCTGCAGCTCTGATTTGGGCCATTCTTAATCTCAGTGAGAAGGCGAGCGTTGAACTTCTTTCGCACCGTGCATAGCCAACCGTGCTCGTTGGGAGATGGCGGGAGAGGGGGTAGGTGGGGTGGTGGGTGCCCCCCACCCCCCACTTTCAGACCTGGGATATTGTTGGTTAAAGCTCAAGAGTGGTTGGTGTTTCATATAGGGTTAGATGCTTCTTTAAAGGCCGCTCGGCGTGTTTTATTAGTAAAATAATCCACTATATATTTAAATATGTATGGTTTTATAATTATAGCCCCTTTGTAAATGCACTGCTTGACAAATACCTCTCCACAGTATTGTAGGTCATAAGAGCTGTTTGACCATACTTCACCATTCTGGTTAGTGTTGTCGGGTTGGTTCAGGGAGGGCCGGGTTGTCATGAATGTTATGACTCATGAATCAAAATCTCAAGGTAAGTTGCATTGATATTGAATCAAATGGATCTTTGGGGCCGTCCATAAATGACGTCACGCGAATTTTTACAATTTTTGCCCCCCCCCTCGTCACACGGCGTCACAAAAAGTCAGACCCCCCCCCACTCAAATATGACGTCACAAAGCTCTGCCCCCCCCCCCAAATAAAACATGCTTCAAATCGCTTTAAACTGTTGTCATTGTAGTGCGTATTTAATGTGCCCCTGCACTCTGATGTTGTAGGAGAAAACATTTGTCAAAAAGTCTATTTAATTAAGTAGAACGTGTTGTCTATATTTATTTAAAGTTGCGCATTTTGATGTGACGTCACATTTCTCAAACCCCCCCCCATCGTCACACATCGTCACAAATGTCTGACCCCCCCCCTCCCCTAGGTGCGTGACGTCATTTATGGACGGCCCCTTTTCCAATAATTGAAATATATGTGACGTGGATTTTAACAGGTTTCCTTGCCTGGTTGTGATTGGATGATTATTGTTATGGTATAAAAAGTGTTTTTTCCATTCAAAATAACACGGGTTAGGGCACTTACATATGTGGGGCAAATTTCACATTTGAATCCCCAAGGGCACATTATACGACAACTACTGTTGATGTACCACATAATGGTATATATTTTATCGACCTAAGGGATGATGGATCGAGTTCGACATCAAAAATAACTATTGAGTTGACGACCAACCAACTCCGAGTACAATTTGTCAGCACTGATTTTTTAAATCCTTTATATTAAGTTCGCTTGCTTGCTTGCGCGCTTACGACCGTGCAAATCTTTCGGTTGTTTTTTAACCCACTTCCCGTGATCCAATCGAGCTGACATTTTGCACACAGACTCGTTGTGCGTGACAATTTATTTTCTTGAAAATTTTTTCCGTAACTTTACACTTTTTAGGATTTTTTTTTATATTTAATTACAAATTGCTTAATGGTGGCAGGCAATCATCTGACCCATAGGTGGCAGCCATCTCAAGCCAGAGGACGAGAGGACTCTAGCCGCCACGCATATAAAGGATTTATAGTGAAAAACTTTGTTTTTACGGGTTTATTTTTTTTTCTTCAGAACTGCGTTTTGTGTTTAGTTTGTTGTCCTTCCCCCCCACATCCGATTAGCACGGTTGGCAGTGTACGATGTGAAAGAAGTTCAACACACATACACACAGCAGTGGTGAGAGCAATACATTACACGGCTGCAGCTTTTACACATTTTAAAGTACAGGATGCTTCACATTTGTTTTAACACTTCTGAGAATTTGTAACAATTGCACAAGAATGTGCCTCCGGGCTCTGGAGACCACCTGGAGAAGATTCCAGGCGTGTGTTGACAATGCTGGCGAACAAGTGAAAACTCTTTGACTTTTTGAAGCGATGAACGTACTTTTGGTAACATATTAGTGTATTATCCGTTCTTTTTCCATTAAAAACGACAGTCTCATATACGTGTTAACATTTATTTGAAGCACCCCGGTAAAAGCTCTCCCGTTCGCTTTTCCCGCTTGATGCTAACTCGGCAGTCTATTTACTTGCCCACTCTGTGAGGTTCAAATGGGAGCCGGGGGGAGCCCTGCTGTGTCCATGCAACAGGGGGTTGTTTAGCAGAGGTCGCAAACGGGTTTTGATTCCTTACCCGTACCCGTACCCGGCCGCACCAGGGTCGCAAACGGGTACCCGTACCCGTACCCGTACCCTACCCGTACCCGTACCCGGCCGCACCAGGGTCGCAAACGGGTACCCGTACCCGTACCCGGCCGTACCCGTACCCTACCCGTACCCGGCCGGGTATGGGTAAGGTACGGGTATCGGGTACCCGATTGCGATCTCTGGGATGAAGCCATGTTGCAGGCACGGGTGGGTTGATTCTAGGAACTTGAATTGTGAGAAGAGAGAAGACGTTGGGAAATGAGTGACAAACGGTTGCTCACCAGTGACTCACGGCCTACCCGTACCCATACCCGGCCGCACCAGGGTCACAAACGGGTACCCGTACCCGTACCCGGCCGGGTACGGGTAGCCGGGTATCGGGTAGGGTACGGGTATCGACCTCTGTTGTATAGGACTCGGCCCGGCACAACTCACCCGCTGTGGTCACCGAAGATGTAGAGGCCCTGCAGCCGGCGAGACTGACACCCCCGGTAGACGTGGCCCCCCACTAGGGGGCTCGGGTGCTCCGGCCTGTAGTGGAACACGGGAGGCTCCGACTCTGCCACACGACAGGCGATGGTCGACAAGAGGGGGAGGGAGGGGGGACGAGTTCGTTCTTCAGGAAGTAATCGAGTGAGCGAGCGACAATTCGGCTGGATAATGAAGCAAGTTAGACCGGAATTAAAAGAAAGGTACTAATTTTTTTCTTCTGGAGGATGATACACCACCACTAAAGAAGCAACATTTCTATTTGTGACTCGTAATGGGGCGTGCTTGCTCCTCAGGTGATAGGGCAATGGTAAAGATTTTAAATGCTGGTTCTGGGCACGTCGCTCCAGCTGATCGACGGCGGGAAGGTTTTCCGTTGGTCAGACTGGGACTAAAACTGGTCTGGATTTTAACAGTTGTATCCCCTTGCAATGTCTAATTGCCAGCGCTGCTGTTTTCAGAGCACTCGCAAATCTTAACGATAATTCCTCTGAAGCTACGAAACTTCTAGAGGAAATCAGCTCGTGATCACGAGAGATGGCAGCTGCTTGTTTGGGAAGGCCTTCATCTGGCGTTGGATTGACCACGGTGAATGATATTGGCGACTATAACATTGCCTGTATGTATGAAACACTTTGTTTAACTCCAGTCCATGGCTAACTTCAGTGGCAAGTGACATTGGAACCCTTCTTGACCCCCCTCCCCAACCATCCTCACCAATGAGCCCCGGCCAAACAGTGAGGTATGGTCAAACTTCTCTGGTCATTTTTCGATTTAAAGCTTTCGTGACTGCAGGGATTCATCTTCTTGGTTCTTTCGGTAAAGTCACGTAGAAGGGAAATAATAAAATAATAAAAATAAAACATAATAAAATAATTCTCACGACGTTTCGGCTACAACGCAAGCAGCCGTCCTCAGGTGAAGACCAGGTCTGTCGGGGAGACAGCGTCATTCCCAGGTCTGTCGGGGAGTCATTCAGACGCTGTCTCCCCGACAGACCTGGTCTTCGCCTGAGGACGGCTGCTTGCGTTGTGGCCGAAACGTCGTGAGAATTATTTTATTATCTTTTATTTTTATTATTTTATTATTTCCCTTCTACGTGACTTTACCAAAAGAACCAAGAAGATGATTCTCTGGTCACCCCAACACGACATGGGGAGGCCTTCAGCATGTCGTGGATTGACAAAATTCCGTATAGTTCATTGCTATTCTAATCGTTATTTACGTCAAACAAACGATAACGAATAACTGTGAGGTCGAGGAAGGCAATTAGCGGACATGAATTGAAATTCTACAACGATTACATTCATGACCTACCAATGAATGATATGGGGGAGGGATCTTTCCTCTCCTCTGTTACCCCTCCCCAAGCCATCGCGACTTCACAATGATGCCTGACCCCGTTGCCACCCGCACATAGCAGGCAAGTAATGAAGCGGCGTGGAGAGGCCTACGCTTGGAATTAAACTCACGAGAGATACAGAGGAACACACACGATGCCAATGTCACATGAGGGCTGCACGAGCTACCGACAAAGTACACGCAACATGATAATTACTATAATAGAGGTTTTGTTTTGTTTAATCGCGTGAATATATAAATGTGTCGTTAAAGCCCGCCAACACCCGACACGGCCAATGAGTAAGGGTTGTCACGTAAACAGAACGTGGCCAATTCGTCACTAGTACAGCACTAACCGGTGTGTTGGAGAGCCACGCCACAACATTTACAATGTGGTAATAACGGCACAATACAAGTAGCCTGAGTTAGATCTCAGAGCAGTGAGAGGTGGTGGCGGCTTTGGGAGGCATTCGTCCAGCAGTTAGGATTGATCGTGGCTGGTGATGATGATGATGATAAACTGGAATTATGAATCGGTACGATTCATGAGATTCCGCAGCAGGTGCATTGTTATCCGGCTCCCAGTGTGGAATAGGATGCAGTTTGCACATTTATTTAGGAATAAAGAGAACTTGTCAGGTGTGCTTCTGTGGCCATCAACTCATGTCTGCTAATCGTCATCATCATCATCATCAAACAAGTGCCACTGTGTACGGGCAAAACACCTCCCAGGCCACTTTGACGGTAATGTATATTTTTGTGTGTCTACCTCCTTTTAAATGCACACTTTCATTTTCGTGGCAGTTGTTGCTGCGTTTCAATCGCTAATTTGTTTTACTCCGTAAAAGATATTCCCATCATGCCCAGTAATTGACCGACCGGGCTCAATGCCACGGGATGCTCGCTACGGCAACACAGTCTCAATGCATGGATGGGATCCCGGCAGCACTCAGCTGTACAGCGTGCGGTTTAATGGTATATCCGTATCCCAGACGACAGTTATTGCATTTGTGCAACACGTAGGCTTTCGCGACCAATATTATTCATTATATCGGTTTTTGGGTTAGATCGCGTTATTTGTAAATGTGTCGTAACCCTCCACCACCCGACACGGCCAAACAGTAAAAAATGTGTCCTGTTTACAAAGGAAAAAATTATTCACTTCTTTAGCCCACCGGTGTGTTGAAGAGAGAATCAACATCATTTAAAATTTGAGTAGCACGACGTTTCGCTGGTAATTACATCCAGCTTCATCGGGCAAGAATGCTGCGGCTCTCCTCATGCTCCCGGTCTTGAATAGAGCAGTAGCAGGGTGACGTCAAACCGATATAATGAGTTATTTCATTTATCGCAAAATTCTCCAATGCATTTGATCCATTTCACTTGACTTTTTTTTCTCCTTTTCAGAATGACATCTCGTTCACTATCATCATATTTCACCTACAACCTGTTTTTATTTTCATCGGCAAATTCGAGTTTGCTCGTAGGGCCGGGTTCTGCTCGCCTGAGCGTTGCTTTATTTTTTGGCCTTCTCCAAGGCATGATTTGTATACAAGGCGAATCGATTTACGTTACATCGACCACAGCTTGTTTACAAGAAAGGCCGCGTATTGTTTCAGGGAATATTTACCTATTTACTTGGAGCGGTTCGTTTTTGGCAACAGTGCTGGAAACACGGTGCCCTCCCTGAATGTGCTCAACATGTCAAAGGATTCTTTGATGTCTCCAAACCAACAAAGAGCCATGTTCTGTTTCATATGTTTTTTTCTTGCTACACGTTATATATAAGTTGTTGAGATGGAACTTTGAATTTGAAAACTTTTAATTTCGAAAAAACAACAACTCACCTTTTTTTATGTTATTTTATTCGTTGCGGAAACAAAGTGGCGCGCCAGTGCCCGTCGTGAAAATGCCAAGCGAGGGCTTATTTAATATGCACTTTGTTTCACAACCACTTTTCCGAGTCGGAACTGTTTTATCGGTCGACAGTGGCATGGTGCCTTGTGTCACATGGTGCCTTGTGTCACACGGTGCCTTGTGTCACAGGCTGTCAGGCTGCCTCAGTACCTGGACTGGCTGTGCTGATGGAGAATATACTCTTTGGTTCTTTCGGTAAAGTCACGTGGAAAGAAAATTAATTAAATCATAGAATACGACGTTTCGATTGCTACACAAGCAATGCTCGTCAGGTAAAAACAAACCTCGTCAACTTAGAAATACAATGCAGTACAACACAGAGAGTCATCTAACACGGCAGTCAGCACCTTAGCTGGTTGATTACGTTCTTCCAAAGATTGCAAAATTTGAGAGAGAAACAAAACACAGACACGGGGACACACAGACAGACACATGAGCAGAGAGAGACAACATAGAGACACACTATGTATCTATGTTGTCTCTCTCTGTGTCTCTGTGTTGTCTCTCTCTGTGTGTCTCTGTGTTGTCTCTCTCTGTGTGTCTCTGTGTTGTCTCTCTCTGCTTGTGTGTCTGTCTGTGTGTGTCCGTGTCTGTGTTTTGTCTCTCTCTCAAATTTAGCAATCTTTGGAATCTTTGGAAGAACGTAATCAACCAGGGAAGGTGCTGACTGTTGTGTTAGCTGACCCTCTGTGTTGCATTGCATTATATTTTTAAGTTCACTAAGGTTTGTTTTCTACCTGATGACGATTCCTTGTGTTGCAATCGAAACGTCGTACAGTATTCTATTATTTAATTTATTTTATTTCTACGTGACTTTACCGAAAGAACCAAAGAGTATGGATTCCTGCAGTCACGAAAGCTTCAAATCAAGATTGTACAATTGCTACTGAGCCTGGTGAGGAGTGGCAGACTGAAGTATAATAATGCAAAAGTGTTGCAGCCTCGTGTGCGCCACAGTGCACAGTGTGGGTATAAAGTTACTCCTTAAGTATTTTTTTCATTTCTGGAAACAATATTAAATTGTTAACCCCATTATAAAAAAAAGTTAGTGACATTTTAATAGGAACACTGCACGTGAAAATGTTATTGTGCGAACTGTGCAAAACCTTTGACCGTGGGTGTAAATTCGCTTGCCGACTCAAAAATCCAGATCGTACCGTGACGTGATTCAATACTGGACTGCTAATGCTACCAAAAAAAGGCAGTTGTATAACAGGTCTAATTCTTTGTCCTCTATGTTCACAGCGACTGTATTGGTCACCGATAGCGTATGGAATTTTACCAAGTGAGATCGCGTTACCATCCGCGCGGAGTATTACCCAACTCCCGTGTTGGAATCAAAATGTGCTCGACCGCTTCCCGTCAGCCGCTCACCGGCTCGGCGACACAACGCGAGCCTTCGACAAACACGGCGGGCGGCGGAAAGTTTTTGAGATGCCTACAAAAAAAAAGGGTTATCGTGACCCAGCGATACAGATTTTTATTTTGAAGCTGACATCGTCACATAAAAGTTACACGTGCGCACTGGAGCGGGGGGGGGGGGGGGGGTTAGCCCTTGGGCTAAGTGTGCACCGTGTACACGAGTGGTACACGGGTGGTACACGGCGCACACTCGCAGGACGGAGTGGACGCTGTGTGCCTGAAGCACGGCCACTACCGATGTAACAAGAAGTGAACATTTTTATCAATCACAGAGGGATGTCTGTGATGATGATGATGGACTATGTTTGACCCTGGGCATAAATTGAACTCGTGGCCTCATTCTAGCAGAGGTGTAGCAGGTGCGGACAAGGTAGTGGTAGCATGTGATGCACTGCTTTAGTGGGAGACCGGGTGAGGGGACACTTGCGCTAGTGAGGGGCACTAAATTTCGATGTAAAGCTTTCGTGACTGCAGGGATTCATCTTCTTGGTTTTGTCGGTAAAGTCACGTAGAAGGAAAATTATAAAATAATAAAAATAAGACATAATAAAATAATTCTCACGACGTTTCGGCCACAACGCAAGTAGCCGTCCTCAGGTGAAGAAACAAGTCTGTCGAGAAGACAGCGTCAGATGCTACTTGCGTTGTGGCCGAAACGTCGTGAGAATTATTTTATTATGTTTTATTTTATTATTTTATTATTTCCCTTCTACGTGACTTTACCGAAAGAACCAAGAAGATGAGGGGCACTACTGTGACCCCCAATGCACAAACCGATATTTGTTCTAGAATCGATTCACGACCGTGCGTTGTGTAATTGCATGGAATTGCAGCATATGTATAAGGCTGTGTGTAAGTGGAGAGGTGTAGTAGTGAGTTACATTGCGTTACAAACCCAGTGACCCGAGTTCAATTCCTGCTCACGGCCAACATCGGTGACGAATATCTAAACTGGTCCTGGGCCTTCATAGCTCACTCGCTAACAGCACTTCGCCCCAACAGTGTTGAGGGCTCCATCTATGTGGTGTCTTTGTCTTGCGACGTGTGGTGTACGTTGCCAAATTGTACGTGCGCACACGTGCGAGTGTGCATGTTGAACTTCTTTTGCACCGTACGCGACACGTGACCGTGGGCGCGGCCGGCCTCCGTGGGGGCACGCGGCCGCTAGAGAATTCTCACCGTAGTCGCGGTCACGCCGGATGAGCAGCAGCCTCCCCGAGTCTCCCTGCCGGCCAGCCCCTCCCTCGCTCCACGCACAGCATCGTGCCCCCGCCGTCCACGCTGCCGTTGCGGTGCCGGTCGACGGTGCATCTGTGAAAAAATTAACCCGTAAAAACTAAGTTTTTCACTATAAATCCTTTATATGCGTGGCATCGGTTTTATTTTATTATTCATTTCTGTTTTTCTTGAGTAAGAGCTTCATTTTTATCACATTGGTATTTTAAATTAAATATAAGGAAAGTCGTATATAAGGATTATAAGGTTTTCAGTTTTTGTATGATTGTTTATATTGTACATTTTTGTTGTTTTCTTGAATAATTTTCTGTGTTTAGGAAAAATATATGATTGTGTTAGTGAACTTTTTTTTCCTAAAAAGTGGAAAATTTTGGAAAATTTTTTTCACGAAAATAAATTGTCACGCACAACGAGTCTGTGTGCAAAATATCAGCTCGATTGGATCACGGGAAGTGGGTTAAAAAACGACCGAAAGATTTGCACGGTCGTAAGCGCACAAGCAAGCAAGCAAGTGAACTTAATATAAAGGATTTAAAAAGAAGAAGATGCAGGCGTTGTTGTGGAAGTACTGCCGAGTCGCTCCTGCCCTCATTCCACCTTTTCTGTCTCACAGCGATAGACGAATGACGGATGTTCAACGCTCTTTGTCGTTTGTTAAGCGCCCTTGTGATGGCTTGCCATGTTCTGGCACTAGGGAAATCGTCATTATTATTATCATTGCTGTTACTGAAATCAGCTTAGTTCGTTTAGGCTACCTGTAAAATATGTTGACACAGCCCACCACATCTAGTTCTCCTCTTGCTATGGCTGTGGCTACTAATGATGTACCTAGTCTGTTTTACCAGCAACGTTCAGTGAGAAATTAAGCTCGGGTTAAGATAACACGTACCCATTACACTAACAATACTTTTTGTATATTTTTTCCCAATTTTCCCAAGGTTATTTCCAACTGCTCACATCACAGCTCAGTCTGTGGCTGCGGTGTTTACACGGCTGATGAGGGGTATGTGTTGCGTTGGTGCTTTCAGTTGTTTCGTTTCTTATATCAGTTGTAATGCATCTAAATTCATGCAAACGCGTTGCGTGCAGTGTTAATGTTTATATGGTAGCTGTGTACCGCATCTACAGATGCCCAAGTATTCATATTCCTTTACTATTCTACAGTTTACTTTCACACTGTGTTTTAGGCTTGTTAACTATTTGTTTTTCTGAGAGATTGTGGATCAAACTCTGCCTTCTTTAAAACTATTTTTTTTTATTTGACCAGGTAAGGCCCACAGAGCTATACAGCTCCTTTTCAGAAGCGACCTGACCAGAAATGGCAGCTCAATTAAGTGTCTCATCATGTGGAAATGTATAGCAGCCAAATGCCCTCAAAGCATGTTTCTAAATGTGGAGGGAAAAACCAGAAGCCACGGAGAAAAAAATATCCACTCGATCACGAGGAGCGAGACATGCACACTCCAACTATACAGGCGTCAGGGTCGGAGTCAAACCCACGACCCTCTGTATACCAGGCGAGGTAGTTAACATCTTTCTCCTGACCATCCTCACTGCAGAGGCTTCATCTCCTGCTCAGGCACAGGTTCTGGCTATCTACTCTGCTTTTGAGTGAATTTCCCTGTGGAATGTCTCGAGTCATCTCTTTTCCTCTGTGCTATGCACCCAGCCCCCCCCCCCCATTCGTGAGCAATTGCCCTCCAAAATGATTCTGTAAAGAAAAAAAAGATATCTTTACCAAGTCGATGTGCACGTCCCGCTTATTTGTACGCCATCTTGAGATGCACTCCTAGTTAGCTGCTGTCTAGATCCAAATTGTATTGAATTGTATTGCTCATTACATTAGTCACAGGCCAAAGCATCTGAGCTCCTGTTTAGAAAACCCCGCAGCCAGCAGAAAAACTTTGCTCTGATGGGGAACAGCTACAGAAAATACATTACACGACTACTCTGCATTCTTTTTTTAATCGGCCTCCTTAATCATGCACTCAATGGTACCCTCGACTGTTTGTGTTCATCATCAAATCATGCTCCCTTGCGTCGGTTTAAAGTGCACGCACAACCATTTCCCCCCCCCATAATAAGTTGCGCACAATCATTGCCCACAGGACTGACGCCAAATAAAATAACATAAAAAAAAAACTCTGAGTCTCAGCAGTGTCGCCTTAGTGCTTTGACCTGAGCCCCGGTCAACTGAGCCACCGGGAGCGGCTTCCGAGCGGTTCTAAATGAGCGCAAAAATTGGCGGAGCAGGCGAGTAAGTCAGCGACACCGCCGCGCCTGCGAGTGTGGGCCTGATCGGGCTGCGGCGTGGCACAGGTCGGGCACCCCACTGCTCCCTCGACCTGTCGCCGTGACAAGTCACCGCATTATCGGACACACACGTTGGCGGCACGGAATCGCTCAAGATAAACGCGTGCAGCGGACATCTCGTCCATCTCAATGGCCACCCAAGATACGTACCCTCTCAAAGGGCAGGTGCACTCAGGGTGAGATGGGAAACGCGGATCGTTACCCTCCTTGACCTATGACCTCACGGCGAGGTCACGGGGTTCACTTTTGATTTTGCACGCACATGGACGGGCAGCGAGGCTCGTAGATGCGGTAGAAATATGACCGCGAGGCGCTTGACTTTTTTAAAACTTCTTTTACAAGTCAGCAGTTTATAAGACTCCTAAAAACCAAAAATGCGGTGTATGACACACATTGATAAGGCGTTTGATGTGTCTTGCAACGCTTTCCGAGATTGGGGAGCGGTGGTTGCAAATGTGATTTCACTGCACGATAAACCCCGTGACCTCAGTTGCATTTAACATTCCTGGTGAGTGATATGTGAACCAGTCATCGCCACTTTCCATCGGTGAGTAAAACTTAACTTACAGCAATTTTCATTCTTTGTATTATGCAATTGCAATGAAGATAAAGACAAATTCGTTTTCCATTGTTGCTTGCAATGCCCATGCCACCAGACACAAATAATACTTATACAAATATATTTCTTACGTGCAGTGCAGCAGTCAAAAAATAATGTATTGGGTGCACGAATAGAGATATGTGAATATAATACAATATGACTAAAAAACGATACTCGGGACTCAAAATATGATACCTATTTAAAAGTTAGAACATTACATTCGAAATGTGGCATTGATCTGCCGTAGTTGATATGCGTATTTACCTTTGAGGCAATTTCGATAACACCATCACAGCAGTATACGTGAATTATAACTTGTACACGTGCACAGAAGTGAATGCATTTACCAGAGGGCCGTGTAAAGATCATCCGCGGTGCGGGCTCAGATTGAGTTGTGTTGACGAACACAGGCAACAAAACGCACGTCGGAATGCGCAGCTGGTTAAATGATTCTTTACCCCACCCCCCCGCCTCCAGTTCACGAGACATGAAAACGAGCGCTAATTGGAAGCACGTGGAGACGCGGGTGTTTACGAGTGCACCTGTGCACGGCCGGTTATGTTCCTGGCAAAAAGCTAATTCGCGGAATTCCAAAAATCTTGTGCCGAATTCCAAACAGAAATGATTTATCTTCGCTGGGGTGGGGTAAGGTTGGGGTGGTGTGTGGTGTATGCAATTATTAATTTAACATTTGATAAATGTACAACCTCCTTTGTCAATCCATTGCTGGATGAAGGCCTATCCCACATTGTCACTTGTACCCGCACTTGACCCCGCCGCACACGTTCTGCCGACGGAGCGACGTGCGTCGTTGACAAAAAGATGTCGTGGCAACGTCTTTGTACCAAGAGCCCATTTCATAGCGCTGGGTGGACAGAGGCGAGGGGATTGAAGACGTTTAGCGCCATCGCTTCAACTGCCATTGGAGAGAACGATTCGCGCGCATAACATGAGTGTGTGCTGATTGCTTAGGGAGTGTAGATAATAGGGGGGATAAATTTCGCTAGGTATACGGATAAGAAGGAGAGCCATTGTATGATAAAAATAAAAGTTGTGAAGAAATGTTATAACTTGGCTGCCTGCGTGCAGTTATTTGGTTCTGGTGAAACACTGCTCGTTGAAAGAGAAGCCTTTATTTATGGCTACGTTGTAAGAAGAAGAAAAAAACAACTCAGGAAATTACCAAAAGCAAATCAGTTGAGTAATTAGTGCAACAATCTTAGCAAAATTAGTACTACTAATTGGGCTTGCAAATTAAAACTTAGGAGTCAAACGAGAATTAATCGTGGCATGAAAACACACTGACCCTGGGTACAGAGCAATAGGCATGAAATGAGGTCAACAAAACTCACCGCCCCTCAGGCGGGTTACAAACAGCATTCGTCTTAGGTAATAAATTACTTCCGATATAATTTTTTTGAATTGGAAAAAAACAACCCCCCCCTCCATGAAATTTGTACATATTTCTATGAGACATTGCTAATGCAAGAAGTGCATTAAAAGTCACGTGAACTTATCCTACAGATAACGAACATTACTCTAACAGCTCTTTGGCGCCAACAGCTTTGGTCACAATGACAACTTTTGATCTTTGTTCAATCCACTGCTCGACGAAAGCCTACCCACACCCATGTCAAGTCATTGACGGGCGGGTTGTTTATCTATAATTTTATCCGATTGCTCACCTGATCACTCTACCAATTATTAGTTCGATTACTCGATGAAAAGAAGCCTTATTTAACACACAAATAGTTGAAACACGATTTCACGCGTATGCCGTTGGCCAGGACGTCGCCTGCTTAGCAACATCAGCCACGTCACGGCGGGATCTTGGGGCCGCTGCGAAATGTCAACTCCCTCGCCAGGTATGCAGGAAGTCGCTGGTTCGATCCTGACCCTGACACCTGCTGTATATTTGGATTTTTCTCCGGGTCCTCTGGTTTTTTCCGTCCACATTCAGAGTGTTTGGTTGCTATACATGTCCACGTGATAAGCCACTTCGTTGAGCTGTCATTTGTGGCCAGGTTGCTTCTGAAAAAAAGAGCTATAAAGCACAGTGGGCCTTACCTGGTAACAAGTAAACTGTAAAAACAAAGTTTTTCACTATAAATCCTTTATATGTGTGGCATCGGGGCGGCTAGAGCCATCTCGTCCTCTGGCT